AGACTCCATAATTTTTCATAAGTTTTTTATTGTGAAAATACTATACAGAAGGGTTACAGTTACATGAGCAAGGTAATGAGTACATTTCTTATCAAGCATTGTTGTCTCCTCCTTTGTTTTTCCCCTACCATCCCTTCCCTCCCACCTCCTCAACTACACTCCCCCCACTCCTAAATTGTAAAGTTTATTTTGTGACATAGCATCTTATACAGACTCCATAATTTTTTTTCCCCAGTTCAGACCATCGTTCTTGGTCACAAACAAATAAGCCTTCTTGATACGTGCCCAGTTGAGCATCTCTGTGCAGCGCTATTAGACACAATGATCACCTTTGCTATCCGTTCACCTGATGAGAAATCAGACTTAGGTTTGTACTATTCCAGTTTCTGTACTGATGATGCCATTTGGGTTTACGTTATTCATAGCAAAAATAGAAATTTCATTCCTACTTGTTATTTAAGTCAGTATAGACTGGTGGCTTTCAACTCCAGGGTCTAGTATGTTCCAAGAGATGTGGAATGCAAGGGTACAATTGTGGCCAGCCAGTTAGGAATTCTGAAAACTACTTTGATCATACTGGATCTGGCATCCAACCTCATGATAAAAATTCAGGAAAGAAAAATCAGAGTTGATAGTCCACTGCTAATGAGGTAAGAAGGAGTCATCCTGGACCAGAAACTCCAAGTTTCTCCCAGGGATCCAAATTAATCCTTTTCACTGGCCAGTTTGTCTAGATGGTATATTTGTTCTGTTATTTTTTTAAAAATTAAGTCAGATGGTTTAAATTATCTGTAGACTCAATACAGGCAGCAATAAGCCTTCTCTCATGGGCTAAGAGGGGGAAAGTATGAAAACACATTTAAGGAACAAACATTCAAGAAACTGTTTTGTGGTTATTTTTACAATATTATGACATTTGGTTATTCCTGAGAGGTGAAGAGACTGGAGAGATTTCAAGGATTTGTTTATCCTTAAGAAATCATGAGTCAGGGGACAGCATCTGGAAGGAGCCACTTTAGGAAAAGATCTGAAGACCTAGACTGCTCAAGACAGGAATCTGGACTTTGTGACTGAATCAATGAGCTACACAGTGTCTTAGTTTACCCTGTTTCTTTCTCTATAACTGGTGGTCCTCACCAAGTAATTCCCCAACTCAGCAAATACAAGTACAATCATCCAGTTTTTGCAAGCTCCACATCAGGAAATACCCTGGATTCCTATCTCTGTCTTACTTCTATTACTTAGCCATTAGCAAGGTTTTGTTAGTTTATATCCATCCAAGAATTATTTTCTTTTTTTTGTTTTTTTTAAATTTTTATTTATTTTTTATTGTGAAAATACTGTACCATCCAAGAATTATTTTCAACAAATAAATGCAGCAGTGGTACTCATTAGTCACTATGTTGAAAATGAACTATACAACTTGTGAGTGGGGATGGAGGAGGGAAAACTGGGAAGGAGCCAGGGAAGAAGTGACATTATCCAAAAGGACTTGTAGTCTTTACCTGACTTAGGTAATTGTAACCTCTCTGTACATTACCTTTATAGCAATACAAAATATTTACCAAAAGAATTATTTTCAACCTTCACTACTCACTGCCATGTTTTTTAGTCCTATAATGCTGCACTGCCATCTTTAACTTTATCTGCTTTCCCTTGGATGTCAGCAGTGGTCTCTGCTTTACCATTTGTGCCTCTCACAGTTAATTATCCAAATAGCAATGTGATGGCTTTACAAAGCAAATGAGAAGAGGGATAATACCTCCTGAAATCTTCAAAGGACTGTCATGGAATTTAGGATAAACCCAAACTCTTTCTTGAGTTCCAGAAAACTCTATAATCTGGAGCTTGCATGACTATAAACTCCATTCATACATTCCCTTCTTGCAGTCATACTGCTTTATTTTCTCTTTCTGAACACACCAATACATATTTCTCAGGCTGAATTCAATTTCGCTGACCTCCATAATTCAAAAGCTCCACCCCTCTTCTCTTCCCTGGGTTACTTCCATTCATCTGTTTTGTTACCTTTTAAGTTCCCATATATGATATACTCCAATACTAGATTTGTTGAAGTGAACTTTAACAGTATAAGTTACTTTTTAGTGTTTAACTAAGAGTTTCATAAAACACGCAGACTTGTAGCCCTTGTCACAATGAAGATATTCAACACTGTGATCACCTCAATAAAGCTTCCAAAAACGTTTTCTAAACACTGAAACAACCCTTTGTATTCTTCTGCTGATAACTACACAAACGGTGCTAAATCCATGCAATGTATATTACTCCACAGGCTAGGTCTCAAGCTCATGTTGCCAAATGAAAGAGATTTGGTTCAGGAAATCTTAGATCATATGATTCCACTGTTATGACGTTCTGAAATCTGCAACACTAGAACGGCATTAAACAGTCTGCAAATCATCAAGGCTGAAGTTCAGGAGGGGGTGATTATGAAGGGGTATGAGAAAATTCTACTGTTTTCTAGTTTTTAGTATAATCTTTGATAATCTTCATTTGCTTATTAGTTGCTGCCTTCCTCAAAAGACACATTTCAAGGTGGCATGTACCCTAACTTTCTTACTTCTGTATCTCTGAAACTTAGCGTGGTACCATTCATTCTGTAGGTGCTCACTCATCCTTTGCTGAATGAGGTTTCCTGGAAGCATGGTCACTCCCCCAAATTTGCCTTCTTTCTCCATTCTCATCCTGAATCCATGACCGTGCCCTCTGAACATTACTGAATGCCTCTCCTAGCCGTTCCTTTTCCTGTAACTCACTGATATTTTCATGTCTTTGTGGGGTTTTCCCTCAGGTGATTGCGAGAGCCTCAACAGGAATTTTCCTGCCCGTAGTCTTGACCCCTCAAATCACCGTCTTCAATCATTTGTACATACAATCAACTTTCATCACTTTTCTTCTGAAAATAAGACGGTGATGGTTTCCAACTGCCTAGCAACTAGCCTGGTTATGACTCTTCTCTCCTTCCACATGAACCCTAATCACTATCCTTCTGGTGCCTTATAGGACTCTGCTTCTATCCAGTTATGGCTCCAAGAACCAAAATGCTGCTCATTTGTCCTAAGATGAGAGCTATCTACAACCACAATGGTCTCTCATCTCTGAAGATGTCCCTGCTTTCTTTTCCCATCCACCTTTACTCCCTCAATCCCAGGATATCTAAAGATTTCATGTCTCTAAATGTAAGACAAAAGTCAAGGACTTTAGATCTGTCAGAGCAAGTTATATGATCTTAAACCATGATATTTGCCTAAGCTATAGCTATCATCTCAACTGTAAACATTCTGGTTTACTAAATATTGAATTCCTATGTTTCCAGATAGTGATAATGATCATTTTCTCCATTCATCCACTGTGTTTTGAAAAAAATGAAGAAGTTGGTACTTTCTTTCACTGAATAACATCTATTAGCTGGATGTATAGTCGAAGCTATAGCAACTTAGCTGGATAACTTACCACAAAGATAGTGTTAATGGAAATCCATTTTTATATATACCAATATGGCCCTAAAATATGAAATTCATACAGTTGCCATTTTTATACACAAAAACTTGTTTTACTGTTTAGGCAAAAGTGGCGAGTGATAAAGATCTGTATATGTTGTCTGTGTATGGATATAGACCCCAAGGATATAAAGATAAAGAGATGTTGGTTCTTGGAAAAGGGAGGGGGATGAACACTAGTGTCCATCTGAGGAATCTGGCTAAATAAGTGAGTAAAACATATACCTCTGAGGCTTACGAAAACATCCCAAGAAAGCTCTCAGCCCATTGACGTGGGAAGAGCTGCATGACACATCCAGGTGCAGATGGCAGCTGCTCACCTGAACACATATAGTTGTTCACATATACTTTCCCAGAGAAATTTGCTCAGAGAAAGTGTTAAACGATTCTCAAGAAAATATTAAAATGAAACAGATTGGAGTGGGAAGGAGGGATGTCAAATCTCCCTGCTGTATATATTTATATTTTTGTTTTTGGAGCCAGGTGAATTTATTCCACTCTCGTTTATTATATTTATTTAATAAAGATGAGTTTGAATGTATATTCCAATATGGTTCTAAAGAGGTTCCATTGAAACAATCTAAATCCAGGACATTGAAGCTGTCATGAAATCACCAAAACCTACCAACAGTCCTGACACCCAAACATATCAATATATAGGTATAAGGAACTAAGCAACGAAAATCTAAAAAATAAAAGCATAGTAGTTGCCATTTTAACATTTCCTCTTTCTCTTAGGAAATAAGTTGGATATGTGAACTCATACATCCTTTCAGGTCAAGAAAAGTCCTCCAAATAGAGTTTATGGATAGTTCCAGGATATCTGTAACAATCTGTGATGCCACTATTGTGTAAAAGGTTATACAAATATACCACACCTTAGCCTGATACAAAATGATGCTCTTTTACTTGCTCCATAACAATTTATTTTGGAAAACCATCGCTCCATAACTGTCTTTCGCTGTCTGTTTCTTTCTTTCTCTACCTCAGTCTCTCTAACTCTCTGTCTGTCTCTATCTCACACATGCTCACATACACACACACACACACACACACACACACACACACACTCATTGTATAATGTAAGTGCAACTTACAAAAACAGGCTGCCTGGTGTACTTTAATTGCCACAAATTTCTCATGTTTGGCCAATCAAAGTCCTTGAATAAGAGACGAAGACTTAGGGTATCTTTACTTTTGAGATTCCAAGCTCTAAGAATCCTATATGTCTATAACTGCATCTTTCCTGAAAATGAAACCAGCACAGAATAAAGCCAACATTAAAAATGAAATAAAGTTAGAAGCCCTGGTTCCAATCACACAAACCCTCTGGGTTTGTCAGCATCAACAACCAAAGTCATTGTATTTTCTCTTTCATTGCCATTTTGGAACAAAGTTTGAGTGTCCTTCAATAGAGCCTTTATGATTTTTACCACAGTTTCTATGGGAAGTAATTTTTTAAGATTGTTTCTTTTACCTGGGAATTGTAGAAAACGTAGATTATTAAGTTTATTAGCATCAGAGAAATTCTTCATGTGACTAATAAATCTCATGCAGGGCAAGGGTGTTCTTCCATAATGAGGGCTGGGCTGTAAAGTAGACAAAAAAATTATCAAAATAAAATGTTATGCAAAAAACCCATGCCACTCCAACTCTTCCCACAATGAGTGATATACATAAATATTCTTGCTTTTAAATAATCTGGAAAACAACTATAACCATGTTTTGTTGCCTATACCATGTACACTCTTCTGTGTATTTCATTAAAAGGGTAATTACATGTTTTCTGTTCATTCAAAATATTGCTCTGTGTCAGACATTGTTTTATATAGTGGAGATACAAGTGATGACTATCTTTTTTAAAAACACATGTTTATTATTTTTAAGTAGTTGTACAAAGGAGCTGCTATTTAACAAGGCACTTTAGAAATACAATATATCAATAAGAGATGACTTTCTTGTCTTCATGAAATTGACATTTTCATGGAAGATGCTAGAAAAGTTAATAAATATATGTATTTAGAATATATTGGATGGTAGTTTTTCTGTTGGTAAGAGGAAACCCAAGACAAGATTAGAGAAAATGGAAATATGGAAAATGGTACAAAGAGATGGCTTCTCAGACAGGGCAAATTTAGCACAAAGACTCACAAGCAGAGAAAGAAGCCACTTCTGCCACTTATTGTCCCAAGCAAAAGGAACAGTTAGTGAGTCAGTAAAAGGTAGAGAGACAGGAAAGGGAGCAGTGGGCAGGAGATGAAGGAAAGGAGGCTTGAGAGCCAGGCTGTGATCTTCAAGTAGTCAAGAAAGAAAATAAGTGATAAATAGGACAACCTGATTTTATCTTAATTAAAAACAACATACGTATAGTTAGCATTAACTACCAGTTAGTATGTGTATAATTTACAGCATTTAGATATGATTGTATATTTTAGATTTGGATATTGCATGGATATTATTGTTTGGATAGTGTATAGTATTGTATGGATAGTATTGTTTGGCTATTATGAATAGTATGCATTTAGGGAAGGATTAACTTGATGGGGCTGGAAGAGATCATGCAGAATGGATAGCCTCTTTTGCATGGGGTATTATTAGCATAGCTACATTGTTTATCCAGTTCCATTCATTCCATGATGAACAGGCTATGTCTCAATCTGACACCTAATCTGAGTGGAAGAGTCCTAAGAGTCCCCAGAGTAGGAATTTTCCACAGCTCTAGATCAGCAAGCACAGATGAAGGTTTAAGACATATATAATCTTATATGAACTGGGAGATGAGTAACCTAGACCAATCATGCCAGTAATAGAATACATGAATGCAACAGAGAAAGGGTCTAAAAGCTGTGTTTTCTAAGCCTTTTTGGCTACCAGCATTTTCTTTGTATTTTCTTGGTATTAAGTGAAAAATTGTAGGGAGTTAAAAAAATTATCACAGATGAGCTAAGAGAAGCAAAAGGAAGAGATTTTCTTCCATTTGGAAGGGAAAGCAGTAATTCTGAGATACCTGGAGGCAGATTAAAATGAGGGAGAAAGGATTTGTGAGACTGGGTAAGGACCATTACCCACTTAGAGAGTTTGCTTCTATGTATGGGCAACCTTAGAGGTCAGAGTTCAGGAGAGAACTATATGGCCCATATTCTAGTTTCATCTCCACTCCTTTCTCTCGAAACTCTCTCTGTTCTCAAATTTTATCTTGAAGATATAGATCAAGTGTTACCATACAATAACCATTATCCCCATTTTATAGATGGAAAGGGTAATTTACCAAGAATAGGTAAGTAATAAGTGGAGGAAGCAAGCCTCAAATCTACTCTGTCTTAGTGGTTGCAAAGCCAGCAATTTGAATGTCTAGCTCTGAACCTGGAAGGTCACCCTGGCCTTCTCTTTCTCTCGAGGCCCCAGATTGATCTCCTTAGCATGAAATTTTTTCAGTCCTGCCATGTCAAGAGTCTCCAGTCCCTCTGTCTCCTCCACAGTCCTCTGGAAACTTAATTAGTTTTGGCACCAATATCCCTACTTGCTGGGAAGATGGTGCATGGGCTGGGAAGGTGGCTCAGTGGTACACTGCTTACCTTGCATGCATGAGGCCCTGAGTCCAATTCCTCAGCACCACATAAGCAGAAAAAGTCAGAAGTGGTGCTGTGGCTCAAGTGGTAGAGCGCTAGCGTTGAGCTGAAGAGCTGAGGGACAGCACCCAGGCCCAGAGTTCAGGCCCCATTACCAAAACAAAAAACAAAAAAAAAAACAGAATTTTTTCTATATTCTCTTTCTAAAAACCAATTCTAAATATGTTTGATTATTTCTCATTATTTAAACTGTGATTTTCATTCATAAAAATTAATTGACAAATCAATCAAGAAAATTTAATATATCTACATATATATATACATATATATATATATATATATATATATACACACACACAATGGAATTAGACACAGCTGTCAGAAAGAATGATATTATACCATTCATAAGGAAATGTAAAGACTTGGAAGATACATTAAGTGAAATAAGCCAGACCCAGAGAAATATAGCTTGCCTGTTTTCCCTCATTTGTGGTATCTAGAATGTGCCTATAAATCTAGAAGTAAACACACTGGAGGTTTAAAAAAAAGGTACACTGAAACATGATAAATTATACATGTTTCTAAGCATTCACACACAGTGAGACCAAAAGAGGAACACAAACATGCAATATCTATGTGCATCTCATCATATAAAATAATATTTATCTAAGTGAACTCCGGGAAATGGAAATAAGAGGATTTTTCTTTGTCGCTGATTTTGTTTTCTTTTCCTTTTCCCTTGTTTGTTTGTTTATCTGTTATTGGAAGGGCAAAGCGGGGACACAGAAATGAGACAAAGACTGAAAAAATGCAGCAATGGTACTCACTTGACACTATGTTGAAAATGAACTATACAACTTGTGGGTGGGGACAGGAGGGAAGAGCTTGGAGAGAGCAAGGGAAGAGGTGAGATGACCCAAAAGAAATGTACTCATTATCTGACTGGAGTAACTGCAACCTCTCGATATAATACCTTTATAATAACAATAAAAACACATTTAAAAATAAATAAATACCATCATGAGAACATGTCAAAATGAAAAAGAAAATCTTCCATTGCAGCTCATATATGTACATTGTTAGCAATCAACACAGGTGATCAATACCCACTATGAGCAACTTCTTGTTCCCCCAAAGTGTGGCCCTCTGTCATTAGGGTCACTTGGAAGTCTGGTAGAAATGGAGATTTTTTTTTTGTCTCCACCTAGATTTCCGGCTGATTATACATTCACATTAAATATACAGAGCACACTTTGATCTAAGATCAAATGCAAAATTCTTCCTATAGAATAAATGGCTGGTCATGACTTACCATCTGTAACCCCCCACACCTCCCCCCCCCACCTCCCCCCCCTCCCCCGCCCGCCCGCCAGCCCCATGTCACAGGACTCTCTCTCTTATAAATATAACAAACTAGGGAAACTGAGATATCAAAAGCTAAGGCTGGTGCTGCACTCAGAAGGCAGAGGCAGAAGGAGGAAGACCCTAGCAAAGCCAATACACAAAATTAATACATAAATAAGGTAGTTACCCCCATGTTCTTCTATTGGTTACCCCAGTGCCAACATAGTTCTTCCAACATGAGACATGAAGGTTTGTTGTTCTATAGTGAGTTGAACTAAATAGAATTGACTGATGTTTTAAAATGTATTTTGAAATGCAGTGTTATATTCAAATCGTGCCTGTCATCAAGGTAAGATTTAACCAAACTGATGAGAAATGGAGAAGAGATCCCCTCTGCTATGAATGAGCCTGATAGATTCCACTCTGAAATACACATTTCATCAGTGGGGCTGTTGACTCCTCTCTTGTTGCTTTTGGTTGATTCACTATCTGAAGTCAACCCTATGCTCCATATTTTAAAGTACGACCCCCACCTTTTCTTTCTTTTTTTTTAAGAAGAGCAAACTTTGATCACAAAGATGCGAGCACGGTAAATATTGATCTTCTTGACAAATGGCGCACCTCTCGCCACAAGCCACTCAAGCATCTGCTCGTTACATCCAGCACTCTCCTTTGTTGGGGAATAATGCCAAGTGGCCTCACGTGCTATCAGCTGCAGATCGCAAATATTTGAAAGAAATAAATTTCTCTGAATGGAAAAAAAGCACCTTTCTTTGTTATCCAACCCCCTTCTCCTTCCAAGTCATGTTGATTTTGGGGCTGTGCATACTCCCAGCACCTGTACTTTTCAATTGTTTGTTTGCCAAGCTCATTGTGGTTTTCTTGCTTGGTTTTAGAAACCATTCTAAGTACAGTAACCAATGAAATTGTATTTTCTTTCTCTTGGCATTATGGAAGGAGGGGTAGGGGCAACTGCTTTGAGACACTCATAGCAACTGTAATTAAAGGACACAGAAGGACAGAATAAGAAATGGGAGCTCCTATACCTACACTCATCCCCATGAGAATGGAACTGTACCTCCCTTACAGCCCAAATGCAGAAGGACAGGTTTCACCAACAGCAGAAAGGCTTCATTTGGTTTTGTTTAATTAGTTTTGCAGAAAACTAGAACCATTATTTACTAGCATAAAATCCAATTGTAGTTGAGAACGGCCATATACATTTAATCCAACAATCCAACTGTAAATGTTTAGTTAAATTATCATTTCTTCTACAGCCAGCTTTGTCTATTTCATTTAGTACAAGCATCATAATGGTTGCTCTTAATTTTTCCCTACTGAGACATGTGCAATACAGATTTATAGTAAAATAAACTGCCAAGCTTATTGTGGTATGATCTATGAAAATACAAATGTAGTTCAGAGACGCATGTTTGCTCTCTGCGTAAAGCATTGGTTCTCTCCCCTGCCCTAAATTCGATTCTACTTCCAAGGATGCCTATTACTGTCCCCACAATAAAGAACCATTGTCACTTTTCATTTTTAATTTTACTTTCAGGAGTATTTTCCTATCTATACTATTTCAATTCTTGATTCATAGGATTGAGGTGAAAGAAAGGTACCTTATATACAATGGGCTCCTATCTGACCCCATCAGTACATGAGACCCTACTGAATGCTGTGAACTAGTGAAGCCTCACAGGATTTTGTTGAGATCTCCAGAATGGCAGTTCTAAGAAGAGACTGCAGAGGCTAGGGCTACCACAGCTACCTTACCAGCATAAGGCAAATGTCTCCTGTCTTTCAACTACTTTTCAAATAGGACAGTTTGAATCGAGTTCTCATGCTGCTGTTCCTCATGTCCAGAGATCTGTATTGATGAAGGCTCAAAATGAAACCATCTGGGTTAAAAAAGAAATCTAAGGGGGCCTATTTCTCCCCAATATGAAAGTAATGAAAGTAATGCTACAAAACCCTTACATCTAAAAGAAATGTTCTGTCTTTGCCACTTAAGTAAAGAACAGAGACCTCTGTGTGTGTGTGTGTGCATGTATCTCTCCCCCACTCCCTCTCTGTCTCTCTGTCTCTGTCTCTGACTTCTCTCTCTCTCTCTCTCTCTCTCTCTCTCTCTCTCTCTCTCTCTCTGTGTCTCTCTCTGTCTCACTCTTTCTCTGAACTTTTTATTTTTGGTCAGTCATGGGGCTTGAACTCTGGGCCTGGGCGCTGTCCCTGTGCTCTTCAGCTCAAGGAGAGTGCTCTACCTCTTGAGCCATAGTGCCACTTCCGGTTTTCTAGTGGTTTATTGGAGATAAGAGTCTCACGGACTTTCCTGCCCAGACTGGCTTTGAACTGTGATCCTCAAATCTCAGCCTCCTGAATAGCTAGGATTACAGGCATGAGCCACTGGCGCCCGGCATCTTGCTGTGAACTTATACCATGGATGTCTTCCTCAACAGACCTGTATAACAGGTGCTCAGAATCATACATAAATCATGAAGCTGCTTTTCAATGTCTGGTAAAATTTTTTAAAGTGACTGGAAGTATCAAACTATTGTGCAATGGCAATGGTATCACATAAATTTGAACTTGAACTCTGATTTATTCAAAGCTGACTTGTATGAAGAGTTAAATATTTTTAGGAAAAAAAACTGCTCTTTAATAAGAGCTTTCAGAGCATGTAATCCTAGCTACTTAGGAGGCTTAAATCTGGAAGATTACAGTTCAAAGCCAACCTGGGGAAGAAAAGTTCAAGAGATTCCATTTCTAAAATTACCAGCAAAAAGCTGGACAGGAGGTGTGGCTCGAGTAGTAGGGAGCTAGTCAAGCAAGAAGAGTAAGGGTGAGGCCTTGAGTTCAAAACTCAGTACTATCAGAAAGAAGCTCTAAATATACTGAAATTTATCTTTTAAAATAATTCATCAAAAACCGATCTTAAGAGTCTATAAAATACTCTTAACAGTTTTAGTAATAGTTAATTAACAGAAAGAACTTTTCCCAGAATTTGAAACTTTCCAAAATTGTTTGCAGTCTAAAAAAGAAAACTATAAAAAGTATACTTGCTAAAATTGTATCTCTGATAACTTTTATAATGACAAATTATAAGACAAAAAAATGAAGAAAACAACTAGAGAAACACCTAATCATCAATTAACATATCACGTTAAGAAAATATAGTATCAATATTTATTGAATTATACAGAATTATGACACCAAAAAGATCTACTTTTTCAAATTATCAGTTCATATTGATACTTTTATACTGTTATTATCTCCATCACATTTTAAATTATAAGATATTTTTAAAGAAAAGAACTTTCTATTTTATTATCATTAAATGCTCACATTTTCATTTTGCATGAGGTTCTATTATATTATGACCCAAACAATAATATCTATACAATTTTTCAGACTGTCTTTTTCATCCTACGATGAACGTTTGTTGGTTTTTACTATGTGTCGCTGTATAAGGGTGCTCCATTTTTACCTGTTTATACATGTAAACAGTACATAAATCAGACTCACCTCCATCAC